TTATAAATCAAGCGTCTACATTGAGTCTACATGACTATAGCGAGGGCCCCCCAAGTCAAGGTTTTCTGGATCGGGTGATGAACACGGAAACCGTTTGCCTGGCTGCCTGGACAGCAAATCCAGGTCCACGTTTTTTCCCATCAAACCATCTGGGTAAATCCTGATTGAGCATCGCCTGCCTAATCAGGATCCCAGTTCAGACTCTCATCTCAACCTCTCTTCCCCAGTAGCTTTTTCTTCTGGGGAAGATCGATTTTCGTTTTCAATCAGCCAAGCCAAGGCCTCCATCGCGAAGAACACAGCCCACGCAGTGGCCGACGAGGCCAGGTTGCGTGGTGACAGACCACTAAAGCCCTCCATGGGACTGGTATATATGGAAGTTGATCTAAAGGGGCATGTAAGGAGTTCTACATGAAACGATCTTTCAGATGGTGTACTTACCCCAGACACTCCATGTATGCTATATATGCCTACATTGGGGTGGTTTTGGGGGTCAATGTAGGCATATATGGCATACATGGAGAGTCTGGGTACTCATGCAGGGCCTGGGTTTTGCGAAAGTGGATCACAGACGCGGTCTTCCAACTACTTGAAAGAACTAAGGTGCCACCCGTGGGTGTTCCTCCCGTGACTGGTGAAACGTGCCGACTCTTGGGACGTTCGCCATGCACACACGCTGGCTGCCCAGGAACACCGGTTCGCCATGAAAACCCGACGGCTGGGTTGTTTGTTTTTTTCCACTCAAATCCGACAGCTGGAAGGTTTGTTTCACCTCTATGTTCCACGGAAACGGCTCGGGGGTCAGAGGTGTTCTTCACAGACCTTGTTGAATCTGGCAAAGGAAGCAAGAGTTAAACATGAAACGGTGATGTTGGTGCTTCCCAAACTGTAGTAGCTGGGACTTTTGAGCATGACTGCAAATGATCGGCGTTGTTGCGGTCGGGCAGAGTGGTCCTGAGACATGTTTTGCCGACTCCTGGCGGTTCTGAGCGTGCACAGGGCGTTCGTCTCCACATGCTTACATGGGTTCGTAAAAGTCACCCAGCAGCGTTGCGAACGCCAAACGTTCAGCGAGTGACCAACTGACATTCCACCACAATGTCGCACTTCAGGGTCAAGGCCATCTACCAAACTCGGGGCAGGTTTCTGTAAGTTTCTAGCCCCAGCTGGCCTTCTTTGTGGTATTCCACGATTTTTTGTCGAATCGATTTGGAAGTGTGCCACGGTCTTGGACAAGAATTCCAGGACCATGGTCACGAAGTGGACAAGAACACATGTGACTGCGTACCTTTAGAATATAATCTCCACAGCCCATGCCGATTGTTTTGACATCACAGGCTTAGACTAGTTTTGAAGCGGGCATTGTCCTGATCCAAACATGACCAGCAAAGCCTACCCAGTCGTGGAGAACCTTTAACCTTTTTGGAGAACTGGTGTCCCCACTAGAGTCACTAGAGATGCACAGGCTGAACAAGGTTAACCGTTCTTTTCCAGGGAACCTGAAGGGGGTCAAGATTTACATCACGGCCAGCAAACTGCCACACCGACATCCCCAAATGGCCACATCAAGAGGCCCATCAGTTGCAGCAGATTCCTTGGCTTTGTCTAAGGTTGGTGATTTGAGTTGTTCTTTAAACATCGGTCCCCCGGTTGGACAGATCTTCGTTCCTTCCTCACCCAGACACGACCTATGGGACTGCCATATATGCCGATCAGTTGGGGTGGTTTGAGGGGTCAATGTAGGCATATATGGCATACATGGAGTGTCTGGGTCATGCCTCGTCGTTCTCACCAGGAGATTCTGGTGAATGTCGATGCCGACAACATCTGTGGCCCTGGCTTCATCGAAGACGTGACTCGCCGAATCTACATCTTGCGTGCAATTTGTTGACGGGCCTCCGTGTGCAGGGCCCAGCCGGAAAGATGAGGCAAGTATGTTTTTACATATCCCAGACTCTCCATGGGACTGCCATACTTCAGGCAGACAAAAGTTTACGCTTGTTAGCCTTCTTACAAAACACTCTGAGGTCAGCGGCGGATCGAATTAACAAGTCTAATTTTCGTGGCAGGTGTGGGACGGTCAATTATCACACTCTTTTAAATTTATAATAAAAGGCTTTCCGGGGTGACAAATGACCGCCCACACCTTCCCTTGTCTCATGGTGTAGGATTCTAGGGGGATAGGGTTGTCATGAATTTCAACATCAAGAAGCGCAACTTTCTTCTGGCCAGTGTATATGCCGCCCCATTGACCCCCCTGGCACCACCCCTGGCCTGATCGGCATATATAGCAGTCCCATAGGTCGTGTCTGGGATATATAATTATATACATGTGGCCGTTCCACCGGCACGCAGGAAAGAACTCCATGTTGTATTTTGGTAACCCCTTGAGACGACGTGCAGCACAAGGATCACTCGACTCAAGTCAGTGTTTTAGACATGTTTAATAAGCCATGAGTTTTGCAGTTCGAGGTGCTTCCATGTTGTTTTCAACAGGGCACCGCTGCCCCAAGCACAGGGTCAAATTTTCTCATCATTTTTTGGGGTAGAAACTTCCAGGAGGATCCCTTGAAGGCAAAGCTCAGCAATCGCATCAAAGCCTGGGGAATTTGTTCCTCGCTGAAAGGACAGGGGGCAATGATCGGCGCTGGTGGTACAAGAAGTGAATCAGATGAACAAGCCTGCCATTATGTAGACAAGAATCATAGCGTGTGGCGTTCTTTTCGGAGTTTGAACAAGAGCAAGGTGCCATAGGTTTCCGCCTGGGGGGAGAGAGAGAGAGAGGGACTTTACACCGAAGGAAGAGTGTTTCTCTGAAGCCTGGAAATCTTTAAAAGGGCACTTTGAGACTCCGAAGCCCAGCACTTCGAGACTCCGAAGTTTCCCACAAACCTTTTGTTGAGTTTTGGTGTTTGTGTCCTTTTCAGGGGCGTCGGTATTGAATGGTCCTATTGGAGTCATCGGAGCGATGTTCAGCCGCAGTCCAGGTGCCGACGTCGCCACTGACGGTCCATGCCACTGTCGCGACCGCCCAGCCCGACGCCGCGGCTTTCTCCGGCCGAGATGCGAAGGCGGAAATGATGCGACCGGAGCGGTGGCTGGGAATAGAGACGAAGACGGTGGAATCGTGTGGAATCTATCTGTATTTTTCCATGTTTGTTGCTATACTAACTATATAGTTAGTGCTCCACACAAGGTTCTTCCGGCTTGCGCTTTGTTTGGAGCCCAGGTAACGAAGTGTAATTTAAGATCATTTGCCCTGGCCATGAAATGCATGAAAACCATTAGCGTCTCGCACAGGACCAGGAATAGAATTCAAGAACATGTTTTCCATGGATGCGATTGTATTTCGTGACTGTCCTAAAGCTCATGAAGCCGAAAGAGCATCTCCCAAGGACCGGGAATGGGATTTAAGGATTCAAGAACCAGGAATGGGAGTCAAAAGGTTCAATATATTTCACGGAGGCCCGTCGTGGCAATTCTCACCTTGGCTTGCATGGAGCCACCCCACGGGTGCCAGATGAAAACCGATTTGGGGCCAACATGTTTGGCACCATAGCGATTTGGGGTGGCCCGGAATGGGATTCAGCACGTCCGGGGCAACCTCAAGTCAGGATGGCTGACTTGACGAATTGGAGGTTGTTTGTTCGTTCCAAGGTTGTGGTCCTCCTAAGGAACAGAGCGCTTGTGGATCGGAAGGAGAGGGCGCTCCCATCGCGGTTTGGACTTTCCCTGGTGTTGGATGTTGACAGATACCTTCCTCCAACGAATATGGAAAGGTGTCTGGAAGGTTGGCAACGCCATGGTTTTGAAGGCCCCTGGGAGCAAGTTGGCAACGCCATACCAAGTGGGTGACACTCCTGCAGATTGACATGAGTCTTCGAGCATCAACACATTGGGGTTTATTCGAGTTCAGTCGTCTGGGGCCTCCGGGACGGATTTCTGTGAAAGTGTCCCGGAAGTTGACATGTAAGGACCAACCGATCACTTGCATCTTGGCTAGTGCCAAGTTTTGGGGGGCTAGGTCGGTTGATGTTAGCAATCTAGGCTTTGGCCGTGTGATCGACAGGCCCTCAAGATCGTAGACCGAAGTTGTTTTCCTGTTTTTTGCCATGCTTGAGAAACGGTCGTTGAAATCAGAAAGCTTGTTTGACCTCAGATTATGTTTGGCATATGTTGGAGATGTGTTGGAGATTTTTCCGCTGGAAACATACACATCCTATGTTCTGTGACCTCGCCCACCAAACTGGCCCAAGTAGTTTTCTTGGGCCAGAGGCGGTTGGTGTTTGTCCGCGGGTGTGGTGGGGCGCTTTGGTCTGGAGGGGAGCACCTGTGGAATTGGTTTGCTTGGTCAGGTGCAGCCGGAAGAAAAAAGGAAGATGTCAAGGACTGGAAGCGGTGAAAGGAAGAGGAGCTACAGACAGAGGCTGAGTCCGTCGGACAAGCCGTTTGATTGAAGTCGGACAAGCGCTCGTTTAAGACGACCAGGCAATGTATATAAATTTTGGTAATGATTCTGATTGATTCTGTAGTTTGTAAATATGTTGCAAAGATCTACAATGAGAGGTAGAAGACTTCGGTCAATGGTTGACCAGATAGTTCACAGTGCAATGAGAGGTTTTGTTCACTGAGGAGGGTTGACTGCTTGGGCCCCCCTGGGCACGTCAACCAGCGCCAGAGTTGACCCGTCGGAAGGGGCTGGAATAGGTCAACCCCGGGCACAGCGGCATAACAGTTTTAGCAGAGTTTGCGAGATAGGGATGCAGTGAGGGTCCACTTTATTTAGGTTTCCCATGCTACCGCTGGTCACCGGAGATTATAAATAGGGTCACAGGCACAGGAGGAACCGCGGGAGTATGGCGTCGGACGAACTTCGTTCGTGCCCTCTCTGTCGGTGCAAGGTGAGCTGCTGTGGGATGGCCCCCGCGGGAGCGTCGTGCGAGGGGCCGCCGGGGTTCACCCTGTGAGGTCCTGCGTAGCGACGGGGGGGTCGTCCCGTGATGATGACGACCATGGTGATCGGCGGGTCAATGGTGACCTGACGAACTGAAGGGAAGTTTGGGATGTGGTTACGGAGTGATGCGATTTGAGGCAAGTAGTCCAGTACTTCTGAGGCATATGTTTTTCATATGTTTTTGATCGGGCCTTTGCTCCTGCTCAAGTTTAGCGAAGGCCAGCTTCTTTTGGCCTGCCTGGGAACAGGGTTGCCTGAGCCGTGACGGAATTTGGTTGATCCGTTCGGTGGATTGGCACACAGTGCATGCTATTGTGTTGCCAGTCCTGTGCATACGGTGCGCGACATGCCCAGTCCAGGTAGATGGATCCAGAGGGCCATCGGGCCGCACGGGGAAGCCAGAAACTCTTGATAGGCTTTCTCCCCTGCTCTGGCCAGCGCATAGGTGATTTGCGGCATCGAAGATATGCCTTGTCCAACCAGAGATCGTGGCTGGTGAATTGGGGCCATCTTCCAAGAGCTTGGCTTGGGAGTGGAGATTCAACTGCTCCACCGTGCTTGAAGCAGTGAAGGCGTGCAAAGCGCATAGTCGACACTGGGCACCAGAGCGGAAGGGATGCCAATCATGCCCTTGATGAGTTGGGTGATCCAAAATGATCTTGACCAGCTGCCTCTCCAAGAGAGGTTGCTTGAGATTTTTCTCCTTGTATTCTTGGGAGAACAAGTAGTGTTCCTTGTCAGTGAGGATGGTGTAGAGGCGATCGCCAGCGGAGAATCTCCTTAGCATCCTCTCTCTTGGCAGCAGCCAGAGTGTTTTTATGAAGTGTCTTCCTCATTTGATCCCCTTTGGTGGCGCCCTGCAAGAAGTTGGGATGGTAGAGGAGCTTGATGGTCTCGCAGTCTGAAAATGAACATGTTGGCCGCAAGATCAGGGAACTCATCCGCAGCCTTAACAATGTTCCAGGCTTTCCAGGACTTGACATCGCCCGCAAAGAGGTGGATCTGATTGGTCAAATGGCCCTGTGACGGCTCCATGGTGACGGGTGCGGTGAATAGAGGCGAAGACAGAGGTTGAAGGACCCGAACTAGACCATCCCATAGGTACACCAATAGGGTCCCATTTACGGTCACTTAACCTCTCTTGGATGATGCATGTTTGGCCGGTCTGAATTTCTTCAAGGACCTCCACGTCCGGCCATGTCCCTCCAAGGAACGAGTGGCACACATTGTTGAACGAGGCCACGCGCCCAATAGGCCACAGGATCAGTGCCTGCCTGAAGCCGCTGCTGCCACTCAGTGGGAATGCACTTGCCCTTCTGCTGCCAATAGCTGCACTCCCATACCAGATGTTGAGGTGCGAGGTCGACATTGCATCGAGGGCAGATGGCACCTGTTGTGGTCAGAGTGCCTTGATGGAAAGCCTGAAGGCTTGGCTTGCACTTCATTCGTCTTAAGGAGATTGGACATAGTCCAGCGGCATCTCAATGTCATAGCATCCCTGGTGGCGAGTGATGCGTCAAAGTTCTTGAAGGCGCCCAAACTCCCATACCAAAGCTTCATCTTGAGAAAGGGCCAGTCTGATCCATAGATCCTCGATGTTCAAACAGGTCCAGTGATTCCAGCAAAGCCCCGTCTGTTCCAGTCGTCTCGATGTTCCGAAGTCAAGGTCCAGGTGCTTGACAGAGGGGTAGACAACAGAGAAAAGCAAACAAAAAACAAGCAAACCCAAAAAACTGAAACCACACTTCTCAAAAAAAAAATGTGTCTTTTGTGTTTGTTTAACACTCCGTAAAAATGCTTTTAGCACGGTCAAAGTATAATTATATATAGTAATTATGTATATATATATGTTTATAACGTAAAAACAGCATGTATTTACACAAACCCCTTTGAATTGAATGATATACTGTAACTTAAACGCGCGCAAAAGTGTTTGCGCTGTTTGGCTTCAAAAAAAAACGCATCCTGCAAACACGTCTATGCTTTTCATTTTTCAACCACAGGTTAGAGAAACCCAGTCTTTCAGGGTTCCATTCGATCCGGGTTCACGATCCTGTTCGGGAGTGTATATTTTATCAAATGAGAAAAAGAACAAAGGGTTTAGCCCAGTGCACTAGAAATCTTGAAGAAGAAAGCCTCTACATTAATGTTTGTCCTTTTCGCCCTGGATTTTATGTCTATGCTTGTTTCATTGTTCGATGATAATACCCTCTCAAACATTGTTTGCACTTTGCTCTGGTATTACGTTTTGGACTCTTATTTGTGAACTCTCTTCTTGAAAACTCTTTGTTTTTTTGATTGTATGCCTATTGAATTCCTTTTGGTTCTTGTTGATTTACACTAGAGATCTTTATTAATAGTATTTTACCCCTACAATAAAGTTTGCCCCGTTTTGCTTTTATAAACACATCACCTACAATCACATGTACGTTTTTCATTTTTCTTTGTCTTTGTGTGAGTTCCCCTTTTGAACAGCTCCTTGTTGATATTGATTACCTATTAAATTCCTGTTGTTTAGCTTACTGGTATCCTCTTAAATACTTCTGAATTCCTTTGATGTCATTTTTAGCTCTTTAGTTGATGTTTCCTTTAATCTTGTCAAAGTATTGGAAACAATCTATCCCACACAGGGGTAGCCCAGTATAGCAAAAGCAGCAGGAAAAGGTAGATAAGTATGAAAAGTGGAGGAGCTGAACTGCAGGAATGCAGGAAAAGGTAGAAGATTTTAAAAGCATTACAAAGTAGATCATGGGGGCTGAGTATATATACACACACACGCATACATGCGCCATGTGTGTGCTTTGTCATACTGATGTCCTTGCCAGTGCCAGGGTTCAGTATGTTCTCAGGTGGGTGACTCCATGACTCAGGTGACGCCAAGTGCGGTGGAGACGCTACAAAAGCAGGATGGAAAGGTGCTGAGTGTCAAGAAGCAGATGCACTTCTTCGATGGCGCACGTGCTCACGAGGTGAGAAGCCGGTGGTTCTACCCGAAGAATGGTTTTGTGCCTTGGTTGTCAACAGTGTCTGGCACATGTCACATATTTGCAAAACAACAGGGTGAGTACAACTTGGAATCCACAACACACCAAGCATGGGCCTTCGACCATCTTCAAAGCTCCGCGACCTTGTTTCTTCGGCCGCCTGAAACGTCGCGTGTTTGGAACCGGGTGGGTCAGTGGAACGAGTCGAGTGGAACGGCGGGTGGAGCGGACGCAGCCCATTCGTCTTCACCTTTTCGGCCGATTTGCTGCGCCTGGGCAAATCGGGAGAAACCACGACGACAAACAAAGAACCGTGAAAAGATCCTGCGGCGGGGTGCATAATTGCTTTATAATACACTATAGCATCATAATTAGGCCAGACTCGGAGTTTTGGCGCCCGAACTGAGTGTCCAATGCGACGAACGTGAACTTGTGAAACGCACGGTTTCAACACTTCGATGCCATGGTCACGTGGTACAGGCGACGAGGTACAAGTCTATTGGCTGCGAGGTTCCGAAGTGCCATGTTTCAAGCGGTTTCTGCCAAAGGGAACCTTCGCATAAAAGGTTTCACTTCCTTCTCAGCTAAGTGTGTGGTGGAACAGATGTTTATTTGTCACTTTGCGGCCGAAGCAGCTGGTATTTGAGACTCCGTATAGTGCGTGTGGATTTCCGGGAAATACGGGGGTTCCACAACGGGAGTTCCACAATATATTATATATATAACCATGCGTGAAAAACGAACGACCTTGGTTCTTTGTGTGTAGTTGGAAGACCACAGTCAATTGGATGTCCACACCTGGGTGATTTCCAACCAAGACTTCATGCTCGTTCTTGCTCACATGCCCGAGTAACGAACAATACTCTCTCCAGTTCATGTTCACAACGAGGACTTGGACAGACAATTGAAATTGTCATGTTGACATCCTAACCCACAAACACACATTAATGTTTGCAAATTTATGTGCTAAAACATATAGAAGACCCTTGCCTTTGGTCAGACTTGCCGCAAACTGGAATGCCAGGGTTCATCCATAAATTTCACCTTCAAAACATATACATTATAACTATTTTCTCATTGATTGCGTATTCTTCCTGGATGCTGCCCCTTTGTCTAGCACAAATGCGGATAGTTTTCACAGTAGGTTCTTGTAGTCTTTGGTGTCCAGTGATCAAGATTATACTTAGCCCAACAACTCATATTTGTCAATCCGGGTCTTTGCAGGACAAACCACTCCGCTACCGGATCTGTTTTCTTCAAGCTTCACCTCTGACTCGTTTTTTGGGATCGAACACTCATGTCATTTTTGCAGTTCTTTCTTTGTTCTTTGTTTGGTCGAAGGACCTTAACAGGTTAGGTCCAAACAGGTCCACGTTGCCGCGTTCGCTTTGCGGCAGGAGATTCGACGCCCGGCTGTCTCCATCTATCTCCCAAGAATTCCTGGGCCCCAACTTCCCAACATTCATGCAGGTTCAGAACACAAAGCCTATATTTTGAGCTTTGACCCGAGGGGCCGTTGATTCATCCAAGAGTCTGACATCACCGAGCTCCAAGCTTCACCGCCCGACCTGAGGTGAACCGGAGGGCGGAGCTCCCCGAACGGCGCGTCTCCTTGGCGCAAGCAGACCTGTCGACCTGTCCCGTCAGCCAGGCGACGGGTCTGCGGTGGGGTGTAGAAGGATGGATCTCCATGGGCCACACCTGGGACTGCCAGTCCGGACTGCCGAGAAACGGCCAGGGGTGGTGGTTTGAGGGGTCTGTCTGGGGCGGCATATGTGGCAGTCCCATGGAGTGTCTGGGGTATGGTGGATCCAAGACCTACCTTTGGGACAATCAACTAGAAAACCTTGAGCTACTGTTTGTCCATCACTCTGATGTTCTTCTTTTTAAAGATCAGGTTCCTGGGTGAGCAAGGCAGGCAGGTGCAGAGCCATTGGAGACGCTGCGTCGTAGTTCAAGCTTGTGCCTGTTGGCAAGAAAGAATGCAAGAGGTGACCAAATGGGCACACAAAAACTGTCCTCAACGTTGTCAAGCTGCTTGACTTGAGCAATCCTTGCGAAAGTGGAGCCCCTGACCTATCCTTGCCCATAGGCAGAGCTTGCAAGCCGCAAAAGCGTGACTTGGCTGTGGTATCCTGCGAAATGATCTGTTTGGGCAGTGACAGCTGTACCCTCCAAAAGCTGTAGCCTCTGGCGGTGGTTAGCCACAAGAGCTCCACGGTGGTGAAACTCCATCGGCGCCTCAAAGCAGCTGCGGGCTGCTCCGGGGCGAGCGCGCTGGCTACGGCCTGCATGCCGGAAAAAGCATGCGGAAAAAAGGTTGGATGATGCTGTGTGACATTTGCAGTGACAAGGCTGTTTTAGGGAAGCTAAGTGGACAGCGCACGGTGGGCATGGCATGGCATGGCTAGGTGATCTTGGAATCTGGCCTAAATTCCATCATGTTCCAGCAACTTCCAGCCTCAAGCATCTTGATGTTGATGGATGTTCATGGACGATGCCCACAAATTACCTGTAGGGTTGAGTGTTCAGGGGCAAGAGAAGAAGAAAGCTTGAGAAAAGGGCGCACGGTCTGGAAGAGCAAGTGGGAATGGGCAAGATGCGCTTGAGCAGCTGATTCAACAGTCATCCAAAAACAACCCACGAATCGCCGTTTCGAATAACAACATGTTGTTTGTCTCAAAGAGCAAAGAAAAGTACACTCAGGAAGTTGCAGGTATATTATATACCTGGCGCTACTATTCTGATACTTTTGCAGGGTCTTCAACATCACTTTGTTTTAAGTGCCTCTGGTATTTGGCCATGCAGCTCAACGCCCCTTTCTTTTGGCTCCATTCCTCCCCTCATCCTGACGCTCCCCTACCCGTCCACCAGACCTACATGGGCTCGTTCGGACCTACATGGGCTCATTCGGACTCGTGGGTCGGGTCGGTCACCATCGACCTGGGTCAACTGGACCGCTGACCGGGACGACTGGACGACATGGACGATCACTGCAGCGGTCGCTGAGGGTTCATGAACTGTGTGGACCCGATGGAAGGCCCTTGGATTCACAGAGCCTCTGGCGCTGACGCCCAAAAGTGCGTGGTGGGAGCCGACAGCGTGGTGGGAAGGGGACGGTTGGCTGGGAAAGCGGTGCTTTCGCCGATTGAGGAGGATGAAACCCGCTTTTCAGAGCAGATGAAGAGCCGTGTAAGTACATGAAGCGAACGTGAGAAGGAGTGGGATGTTTTCGGTGTGGGTGGCGAGTGGGATCCGTGACCGACGTGCAGACCGACGAGACCTCTTTGCTGGCCCGGACGCGGGGAGACAGGCCCATGCTGTTAAGTGGGTCGCGTGGTTAGTGCTATTTTTTCTGGATTGGTTTGCTGGCGATGGTGAGACGTGGAACCGAATCTATGACCTGGATGATCCAGTAAACTGAAAGGAACAAGGGCATGGATTCGGATGCCACAGTAGGATGTGTTGTTTGTACATGTTTGCACAGAGTTTTGTTGGGACCCGAATAGACTCCTTTGTACCCCAGTGCCGAGTCCGAAAACCCACCCAGTCCAGAAGTCCAGACTGAGTTGTTAGTTGGAAATGTTGTCATGTCTTGGTGTGTATTTTAGACTGGGAGACCCCCGATCGCCCCAATGGGAATTTCTCTTCCAGGAGGTCGAGCCGGGAGGTCTCCATATCCTTGTTTTTGTTTGAATGAAGTTTCCCCGTCTTCGCACCGAAATGAAACAATCAAGCAGGACTTGGAAGATCCGTCCCACGTGTTTTTTCTGACGAGGATTCTAAGCTGTCCTGCTGTCCGAGGGTGAATCTGTTTGATGTTCCCAAACTCACTGGGTGAATCTGTTTGATGGCGATCCGGGTTTAAGCAAATCCAAGATGACCCTTCAAAAACATTCAAAAACAAGAAGCTACCAGGACCTTCAAAGTGACCTCCGTCAAGTCTCTAACTTGTTGCAAACCTTTTGAAGTGTTTAGGCATGGTTGAAGTTAGTTCACCTGTTGGTATTGGATTATAGCTGAACAGTTCTGCACTGGTCACAGCTTCAGAATGGTGCTTGCATGCGTTTTAGGCGGATTTCCCAGATACTCCGCAGAAGTATGGCTTTTCAAAAGCACTACCTGACGTCCAACTGTCCAACCCAACAGCAAACTTGGCTGTTGGTTACGTGGGAACAACCACCACGTTGAGGTCGTATGCTTTTGGCGAGCCTTTTTCATCCAGTTGACCCAGACCTGTCCATCCAAGTGACCGGTCCATCAGCTGAACCTAGCGCCGGTACAAGTGAACCTAGCGCCGGCGCAGATGACCTCAAGAGTTTGGCTCATAGGATTGGTGTTTCGAGTAAATGGGCGCCACGTTTCCGAAGTTTCGGGGGATGCAGATGAAGTTCATTGCCTTCGGGTTTCCGAATCACCAAAATCCAAGAGGATCGACAGTTGAAACTAAATATATATAATATATAACTATATAGGCATTGAAGGAATGAATACAAAATTTGGCATGTGCTAAACATCTCAATTTGAGGGCAGATTTGATTGCGAGCCTCCCAATGTCTCCCTACTAAGATCGCACACGGGGATTCCCAGAAATGGACACCGTCAACCTAAACCACCCAATGCCAAGTAAGCCTTGGGTGTAAAACAATGACTTGGTCCCTGCATGTTGCTTTTACATGTCAAGAAACATGTGTTATTCTTGGGTGGATGGTCAGGAGCAGATCAAGTGTATGTACACAATCGAAGATCATTTATAAGGCTGCGTGTCAGGGCACCAGGATGCCTTGGTTTTTCCCACCTGGGGAATGAACAGGACTACTTGGGAGGTCAACCGGGCCCCTGGTGACCCGGGGCTCCGGGTGCGACCCACAGCCACAACCCTTCAATCCATGCTCAAATGAGTCGAGAGACAGGTCTTGACAGGGCACCGTCCATTTCTCAGACTGGCGAGTCCGTCACAGATTGCCCAAAAAGTGTGTTCTTCTTGTTTAAACAAACAAGAAGATGAAGACTGAGACAGACTAAACTGACAAAACGACTAAACTAAACCACCAAAAGAACAAACTCCACAGCCTCAGATGGAGATCTTCGCAGCCTCCAGCCTCCAGACTCGCTCCGGAAGTGTTGTTTCTCCACCAAGAGAGTCCACCGTGGCCCCACCGTCCGCGACCGAAGCCGATGGAATCCATACAGGCCGTTCCGCACGCGTTGCTGCGAGGGTGAAGACGGGTGATGACACGAAACCTGGAATCCATGGAGGTGGAAATGTCTATAGGGCTCCTGCCACTGTGGAAAGTTGGACTTGCCATGAAATGCCCATGACTTGCCATGAATTCCGCCTCTTGACCAGTTTGCTGGTTGTGGTATGGGAAGGCTAGAGATTGAGTCATCGCAGACTGGTCTGAAGGTGAGCTTTGTTCGGATGCATTACCAACCAACCCATATAGGGTTAGGATGTATACATCCTGACCTCGGATGATCTAACGGAGGTTTTGGGACGTACGAAAGCAGAGAATTGTCGAACTGGAGCTAAAAGGACATCCTTAGGATCCTGCTGGACCCTTGGAGCAAGTGTTTGGAGTTGGGTGATGGTGGGAACCCTCGCCATAACCCTTGCCATTCAACAAGAACCTTCTGTGGAACTACGCCCAAAAACAATGCCTTCGGGTCTGCCGTGTTCAGCTGATTTCAGCTGATGCTGGTGAGCTTGATCATATCCATCAGCTTCGGAACTGTGGCGCCATGCCATGTGCATTTGGGTTTGGGTGTGACGTGTAGGTTTTGACAGGGAGACCTCCAATGGTCCACATGTGCCAGCCGGGCTCGCATGGAGCAGCTGAGAATGACACCTGCGATGGAGCAGCAAGTCGAGTAAGGGGACACTAGGCGTGATCTGATCTGCGCATTCCGTGAATGGAAGGTATTGAATGGCCCCACGCTTTGCCAACCGGAACCAAATCTTGATGGAGAGTCTCTGGACATTGGTACAGTGGTATTTGCGACTGTTTGTGTGGATGGGCTGGTCCTTTAGTATCATGAGCTCCTGCAGAAATTGCTGCCACTACCAGTGCTTGGAGGCCTGGCCTTTCATAAACTTACATCATCAGATGATTGAGGTTTCTTTCACTACTTAGTGGTCTAGTCATGTCTAGTCTGATTTGAAGAAGAACGAACCCGTCAGCTGTCTGCCCTAAGCGAGCCATAAAATCCAGTCGAGTGGCTAGGTGACCTGGTCGGATCTTCATGTCTTTTAAACAACTTTCAGCCATCCAGAACTCCGGCGGCAGATGGGAAACACACGAATCAAGTCGATGAAGGACCCACCAGGGACCATGCAGTACGACCACCAGAGTTTCTGTTTCCCACGCCAAGTCATAGCTGTCATGAATGCCCAACAAGAAGAAGCTGCCACTGACCTTTGACAAGTTTGACTATACCTCCCTAGGGCTCCAAGTAACTCCTCAGAAGATACTTGGACCCTCCAACCTCCCCAACACTTTCTTAGAAGGTACTACTGGAGCCCTAGCCTCAGAGGCATGATGTGGCATGTGTGTGTGTGTGTTAATAGGGAGACTCCTTGGCCAGACCTTCTTGGAAGGAGGAACATCTGTCAGTCTACTGTCGGTTGGGTCTCACCATCCCACTCGCTTGGTCTTCAGGTCGGATGGCAGCTCCAGGCGCAGCTTCGACATTGAGAGACACTGCTTGGTCCACATAACTTGAATATCCGACTATAGCTGGTGCTCCAGAGGGGACTAAGGAGCCCCGGGTATCCCTAGTTTTGTTGGCAGGGGGAACAGCTGTGATACCCAACAGAGTTTGTGGATACGAGCATAGATTAGCTACAGCTACAATGTGCATCCGACCTTTGTGGAGTATTTTGCGTTTGTGGATGGCAGAGTTTTTGCACCTTATGTATCCAAATCAAGATCGTGAATGGAATGAGCCAAGTGTTTAAAGGGACCCCAAGCAATTTTATACCACAGCTGCGGTGTCATTTCTTGTTGCCATGTTTCAGAATCCTTGTGGATTCTTCTATCTCGCCTGAAGCTGAAGTCCCAGTCCTACCTGGTACCTTCTCCGTGGGTATGTCACACCACCAAGATCCGATAGTCTACCTTTGTGTGTACCATCCCCACCCATCCC